TTTCCCATCTCATCAAAGTTCTTATAAAGAAACGTGATTATAGAGATTACAGAGAAATCATAAATTAAATGTTTCCTATACCCAAACAATATCGAGGCAAAACTACAAAAATGGTTTTCAAAAAATTATAGTTAATATGGGTTGGGTACACCAAATATGTTTGGATGACTGACTAGACAGCTTCCAGAAGGGATAACTGAGGTCCCTGGTGTCTAGGAATAGCCGGTTCTTCAGCTCAAAGTCAAAAAAGAAAAAGAAAGAAGGAGGGGAAGAGAGAAAGAAAGGGCTGTGCTTTTTCTAATACTAGTAGATTTTATTATTTATGTTTAAATTGTGGATTCATTAGTAATTAATTTTGATATGAAATATATGAAGCTTTTTTTCTCCTAGGAAGCCAGTTGTGTCTAATCCATTTGTTTATTTATTTAGTTAGTTATTAATATATTGTATTGATTTCAGAGAGGAAGGGGGAGAGAGAGAGAGAACATGAATGAATGAATGACTCATCAATGGTGAGAGAGAATCATTGATTGGCTGCCTCCTGCAGCCCCTATAGGGAATCAAGCCCACAACCCAAGCATATGCTCTGACTGGGAATTGAACTCTGACCTCCTGGTTCATAGATCAGTACTCAACCACTGAGCCACACCAGCCGGGCTTTAAACTTTTTGAAAAGCTACCTTTGGTCATAAACTATATTCCCACAATGTATGTGTCTTCAATTCATTTTTTCAATAGGAGAACAAATTACTACTTACAATTGCAAGTTGGTTATCAGTATTCTTTCAAAAGTTGTTTGAAAGTGGGAGACCTTTTTGGGGAAAAACAACTGGCTTCTCTACTACCTAACAAATGCGGGGGAGGTTGGAAATGTGTAAATACATGTTTTGAGAGGAAAAGAATTAAATATCACACTGAGGAATAGAAGAGTACTAGAGTTCAGAGAAGAGCACAGCTGTGCTCCCTGAAAGCACTGTGAGAAGTTTGGTAGAGTAGGGAACGTTGGAGTGGGGTCTTGAAGTAGGGGCAGGTGTTGGAAGGCAGTGGTCTTCAAGCTGGGGTACCCATGCCCTTGATGGTACAAGGTCCAAAAGAGACATGACAGATGGCATTGAAGGTTCAATTTCTGGGTCTTTAGTCCATCTGTTCCCATTCATAAAACCCATCAGCTAGAGTGCACAGCACAGGCAACCCCTGAAATGCTGGTACCTTCCACCCGTCTCTACCTTATTATGGAGCATTTCACTTAAGTATAAAAGCCCTCTGGGTCACGAAACAAAGAAACAATCCTAAATGTTGGGGTACATGACCAGAAGTTCATGCTTTGGGGCCTCGGTGGCAAATTCTTTTGCAAGTGAGATCATTTCCAATACTTTGCTTTTAACAAAATTGAGAGAGAAACTCATTAAGTTGTCAGCTAATAGGTCATTAAAAACAATTTTTGATATGTTCACCAGGTGCTTTCGTAGAATTATAATTCAGAAATTCAAAGAAGAGTGATGATTCCCTAACGAAGCTCCTGCTAGCCCATCTATGTATCTATCTAAATGAGCTTTCCCAGAGCTTTTATATATAGAAATGAAAAATAGGAATAGATTGGATTCTGAACTCAGTCTAATTCAAACAATGAGAATATTCATTTTCAGATAAATTAACTAATTGGAGAAAAAAAATCCCTATCCTTGTAAGATACTTTTCCAACCAGTTTTTTTTTATTGTTTTCTATCTTGAATAATTGTTTATCTTCCTACAGTTGTAATAAGTAAAGGTAACTTAAACCAGGGATGAAAAAAATGAATACTTAGAGCCCTGTGGTTATTAGAAATGAAAGCAAAATTAATCTTTCAATTTACATACACATTTTTGTGGCAGAGTGGTAGATGAGGTGATCAGTAAAAGGCTTCTAAGCATGAAAATGTTTTCTATTGGGATAAAATTCTGTGGGCAAAGGGGGAATGGAAATAGAAGTTCAAGGTGGAAAGGAATGATATAAAAATTTCAACTATCAAAGAAGAACTTGTTGGTGTGTTTTTTAAGTGAAGAATGGTGGGTTTTAAATTGCTGGGATTCTTAGATTCCATTGGTGACATTAAAGGGTGATGGAAGAGTTTATTTTAAAATATCAATATTTACAATACTCCAGAAATGACATCTTTTGCAGTTACTGAAGCTTTTCATATGTTTATTCAAAAAGATGCAGAAGATACATAGTTTTAAAAACATTTTAGGAAGGAGGATAGCAGCAAAATATTTTAAGGAGTTTGCCAGGAAAATCTTTTTCTAATGCTGGAGTCATGCTGATGTTTGTGGATTTACTGCAGAGAGGAGGATTGAAGACAGAGAAGAAAGGGACACAGCTCATGCAGCACACACAGTTCCAGGGGGAAACATGGGCAGAACTAAGGAAGCAAGCAGAGGACTTAGGAGAGAGGAGAGACACTGTTTAACTGAGATTGGGGTCGGGGGGTGCGTTCCAGATGGTGACCTTGAGCTAGAGCAGGGGGAAGTCCAAGAGGTAAGTTTGGATAGAGCATAGGACACTGATGACTTTGGACAATGAGAAGAGATCTTTGGAAATTCAGTTCTGGAGGAAAGAAGTCACAGTCTGCATTTAAGGCTGGGGGAGGGGATGTAACCTGGGAATATTAGAGCTGCTTTATATTCTGTCTACTCCCAAATGGGCTTAGTTGGTCAATCAGAGGGGAATTAAAGGATTTCCAAACATCAGAAGGAACCCAGTTTGAGGTCATCAGGTATGGTTACTAGCATACTTGGTTGGTTCGCTTTCTCAGTGATGTGGTCCACTTGACTTGGGAGTGATGAGAGCATTTGGCAGAAGAATAGAGGAGGCTTCGGGGAGGCAGGGACTGTCAGCCTTGTCCACTGGTTTTCTGGTTTCTCCTCCCTCCCTTCTTTCCTTCCTTCCTTCCTTCCTTCCTTCCTTCCTTCCTTCCTTCCTTCCTTCCTTCCTCC